AAAAAAAAAAACGGTTTCCTTCGGCTCAAGACTAGGAGATAGGCATTCAGTTAAAGGCTTGAAAAATGGCTGTAATTCTGAGCTTTGCAACTGAACAGAAAATACCAGTGATTGATATTTGCAGAGAAATAACGCATGGAGAAGCCAAGAAAATGTGTCATTTTATAGGATCAGGAAGCTGATCAGAAAGCTGAGCAAAGATTCTAGGCTTGCAAGCAACTAAACTTGCTAAATGTAGGTTTAAGAATTCTATACCTGGTATTTTAACTGTGCCACTAGTAGAGGTATCATCAGTGTATGGATGGCTGCTTTCTACCACAACTGGTTGTGAAGAAAGGCGACCACTTTGTGAATCTGTTGCCACATCTTCTAGTTCAGTAACACACAGCTCCAGTAGCATGTCAGCAACCTAATAACAGAAAAGTACACACACACACAAAAATCTATTTATCTTTATCCAAGAATCCTAAACCCAACCCTTCCTGCCCCCCAAACAAAACCCTCACACCTCTAAATACCTCCATATATGACTGAATTCTACAACACAGGCAGAGATTAGGGAAATATTAGTGAAATGTGTAAATATTTCATCATCATCATTCATTACAGAAATACCTGATGGGCAAAAATACAAGAAACCTTGAACAATTCTAAGTTACTCTAAGTGTATTACTGCAATGAGATATTATTTAAAACACTGATGGATCTGGACCATTCTCTAGTGTAACTGCTGGTATGCAATACTAGGGGACTTGCTGTTTGTCAATTTTCTCCCCAAATCCCCACCCATGGATAACTGTAAATAGTTAGAAACTGTGATACATCGAATTTAAATCTTAAAACCAACAAGCATAACTAAACTGTTCACACTGTATATTAATAACGTTTTTAACTAACAATAACAGACTGCACCAATATGAGAAATGAACTTTGGTGTAAAACAAACCTAACATGACAGTGTGTAATCTAACATTCCACAGATTCAGCAAATAAGGCTCAGATAACTTCATTCAGGTAATGTTTGTCAAATGCACAAACTGAATTCATTAAGTGTCTATTTTGATGTCTAATTGCAGTGTAACTAACTGACAACAGATTGCTACCAACATTTATCGCAAATACTCATGCAGCATACAAATCACTCTGATCCACACTTATGTTCAGTTGTAACCTTCATGTTTAATAAGTTTCTACTTAGGTCAAATTGCACTCAAAATGTAAGAAAATGTATCAGTAAGTTAAGAACAAAAAGGGCATAATTAAAATGCAACATAAACAAAATCTGACCTGTGGGTAAGCTGTGCCCATACCGGACAGCACAGCTGAGAGAACATCTCTTCCCTTTTCCCCTGCTCGGTTGGAGACAGCAAGCTTCAGCAGGTCAACCATGACTCGCGTGTCATCTGGTACTAAGAGACTAGTAAACTCATCTAAGTACTGCGGTTCTGGGCCAGATACTTTACTTTGGCTTTCCACATCCTACAAAACAAAATACAGAAATATTTGGACACTGAAGAAAGAAATATTTCACAAAGTCTGAACAAGTTAATATGTCTGAAAATGTTAAATATGTAGTTGAAAATTTAGTTTGCAATTCTGGGATC